AAGTAAAATTTACATTTTGTATGAAATAGAGAGAGGAAAAATGTTCTTTGATTAAATAAATGAGAAAGCATGAAATATTATACCTGCAGAATATTTTTAATTACGGCACCAGGCTTCGTGTACTCGTACTATTGACAATTCATATTGCTAATAAGTTCTCTTGTTTACCGAAGCAATTTACGAATCCGCGACAATCACGAATATAATCGTAGAGTATCGCAAAAGCATTGGTATTAAGATGCATCGCATACAAAATAAAAAATAAACAAAAAATAATTTTTTCAAATAATTTTCACATATTGATAATGAAAAATATCACATGTTCCATGCTTTCAAAACAAATTATAAATTTTTGTATAAATCATCGTTAAATATATATGAGAGTGTAAAAAAAATCGGTGTTTGGCTGATCAAAACTGACTGATAACAAAAAAGAAATTAATTAAAAAATATATAATTTTCGAGCTTCTTGACTTCAGTTCAACAAAAACAATTATTTTATTATTATGTGTTAAAAAAATATTTTTATAAAGTATTAATGGAGTATTAAATTGATAATTAAATATAATATAATAATATGAAATAATAATATAATACTATTACAAGTAATATTGAAAAAGAGTAAAATATTACAGTTTTATGCGTTTTAATGGCATGATGAAGTTTTGATATCTCCAATTTCTCGGATATGGCAGGAAATAATTTATTATTCATTTCAGGCTCTGAAATTTGCCAAGGGGCAGCCATTAAATCGTGTTTCTTTTGCATAATTTAAACACAAGATAAAAAAATATGTTATTACAATTGTTTCGCGAGCGTAAAATATAACTGTAAGTATAAAATATAATTTAATTATGTAAAATGTAAAATGTAATTATGTAAAATGTAATATAATTATGTAAATTTTATAATAATATAAGAATAATAAAAAAGAATATAATAAAGAATATAATAAATAAAAAAATTTAATATAGAAATCAAACATAATTAGATTAAAAATAAAATTAAATAAAGTTTAAATTTTCATTAAAAGAAAATTAATGAGTCGATAGAAGCGAGAAAAGATTGACTCGCAAATAAATTAACTGACTCTCTATTCACTAAGATTCGCATCGGTTGAAGGTGTTAAAACGGACAATAATAAAAGTCGCAGCTAGGAAAATGAACGGTAAACGAACAAAAAACAATTGACGAAACACAATGGAGAATTTCTTTCTTCGGCAAAGTCTACCACTATCACTACTCTCGATCGATTACCGTACTCCGAATACTCACTCTCGAGTCTCTCGATACGCTCTCTCTTGGTTTCGGCCTCTTCGGCAAGACGCGCCGAAGTTTTCACACCTTCGCCGCTTTTGTGGGTCTTCTCCATGATGGAACAGGCACGCAATACGAAGGCGGGCACGGTCTCTTGCTTTTCCTGCCTCGGTATATCCACCAACGTCCAATATTGCGTCTCCAGCTTAATTACGTCCTGGAAGAGCAAAATCGTCGATAGCTCGGACTATGATCGCTATGACGAAAAAAGAAAATCGAGAGAAAAAAGCAGCGCGCAAGATGATCGGCCATTGTACAGTGGATCCCTTTATCCATGTGTCTTCGAACAACTCACTGGCCCATTCATCAAACGTGGTTTAAAAAGATCGATTTTATCCGCGTCTTTAGAAAATCTAGCATCATTAGTCTGTATTTATATCTAAAATGGCTTACAAGTTGTAAGTAGAGACATTTTATTTAAAGGAAAAAAAATTTAATATAATTTTTCTATCCGCACTTTAAAAACAGATTAAGTCGTATATTTCTGTATTCGTGCAATTTTGATTGAAATATAGTCACTTTGATTCTAGTCTTAATTCATACTTGCATTTCTTTAATTAATAATTTTATTTTTAATAATTTAACATTAATTTTTTATTGATTAAAATTGTTTTTGTATGCAAATCAATTTTGATTAATTTTTATTATTTATTTTCGTAAAGCAAAAGTATAAGACTAATTTCGACAAATAATGCCGATAGGGAGCAAATTTATCATCGTCTTTACAAAAGAATAACGATTATATCTGTATTATGGTGCTTTTATCGCTCTCTTTTTTCTCGCATCTTGCTAAACGCTTCAAACAATACACCTCGGGATTACACGATCGTCGATGAAACAAACGGTGCGATTTACAGGGGGCAATTTTATTTCGCGCTCGTACCGCTCGAGGATTAATCCCAAGTTGTTTTTTCCTCCGCCGAACAGGAAAAAACTCCGCGTTCTCGATTCTCTCGATAGCGGCTGCGCCTTGTAACGAAAGTTTACACCGGAAACAAATGTCGTCGCCCGTGCAAACGCACCCGCGGGACCAACGATCGCGAATCGCTGTGTGTGCGCTGTGTTGCACCCCCCCAGGGGGTGCAAGAGAACAAAAAGAAGGAAAAAAAATAGAACTGAAAGATGACGATAACGTCGTACTTGTCTTCCGTCCTGACTGCGAACGTGTCCGATAATAACGCTGGCTATCTCTCGTCGCGTGCATCTTTATTTGTTGCTCGTCCCGCGGGTGCGCCATCTATCTCTCGGACAACGAATGTCGCGCCCGTTGCAGCATGTATTTCGCGTAGGAACTTCGAAAAATAAAACAGTCGCGTTTCGAATTCCTTCCCTGCCATTGCTCGTTCGCCGGTTTGCTAGTGCAGCTGCAAATTCCGCGTTGTTACATGCGGACGAGGATATTTTGCGTTCTTGTTACCTATTTACTGACAAAATATCCGTACATCTGTCACTCTACTCTGTTTTTTCTTCATTCTATTCCATTTCAAATTATTACTCCTGATTCAATTCTATTTGGTAATTTTTATTGAATATTGAATTGGTGCAAAATTCATACCCATCACTAGACATTTCAAAACAAATTGAATAAAGTATGGTATAATCCATATTATGAATAAAAAATTTGTTATATAATTATTTATAATTATTATCTCTTTTTATCATCTTTTATTCTAATTGGCAAATGCGTTAAATACTAGACATTATTTTATAAATAAAACTAATTTCTTTCAATCAAAGAATAAATCGACATTTAAGGTAATTACATATAGTGATAGATCAAATTATTTAAGAAAAATAATTTAACAATACAAATTATAATATTTATCGGGAAATTATTTAGGAATTAATTGTTAAGCCTTAACTGTAACTTGAACAAAGTCGATTATAAATTCTTCAACAAGTTAATTATAATTTACATTAAAGTTACAAGTCAATAATTAGTTCCTTAACCATTCCTTAACAGAGAATCGAGCGCAAATGACTCGATCGAGTTTTAGCGGAAGTGCGAGCTGCTGTTCTCCTTTCGTCATTTATGTAAACCGGCAGACATAATTATAACGTAATTACATCGGGCGACAGTCTGAGACTGACGCTCGCCGAGTACAAAGTGCTCGTAAGACAAAAACACGTGTGCTACACCTAATTACGAGGCCCGGTTCCTCTTGTCTTACCTTGATCATATCTTTGAGGAGGCTGTAACGCTGGAACACATTGCGCACTTGCTTGCTGTCGGTATACTTGCACATCAGCTCGACGAGGGCCCTCTTGGCAGTGTCGTAACTGCCATCCAGACGTATCCTCACGACTCTCAGCCTCTCGTTCGTCTCGATCACCTCCTCTTTAGTTTGTCCACCTGCGCCCGTCGAGCAGAGCAATCGTATTGCGATTCATAAAGTATCGGAAACCTCGGGCAATTTTTCACTCGATTACAAATACTTTGGCATCGTGCATCGATGCACTTTACTCGCGCGACATATATATATATATATATATATATATATATTCGATCGATTTTCCTTATCGCGCGCGTCAATCATCGCGCATCGCATTTAACGGGGCCGTTAAATTAAGCGCGATGGGAATGATGAAGACGCGCGTGCGAATGTCGCCTCCAATTAATTTTCAATTAACTCGACACCGCGATAACGCCGAAAGTTTCGACATAAATAAATCGAGCACGGCGGACGCGATAAGCACCTCAGTTGACATGTTTCCGCCACAGTTTCATCAAATTTGTATGCAGCCCAAATTTGTGGGAGAAGTTTAAACTCTGCAAATAAACGGATTCTCGAAACATTTTAAGGAACATGAGATAATGCCAGGAAAAACTTTAAAATACTATGATTAATACTATGATTTTATCGGACACTTTCTTATCCAATTCATATCAAATATAAATGTTGTCTCTGATAAACTTTAATTTATTAATCTATTAAAAGGATCTATTAACTTCAAAATCGTTGAGGATTTGCAAAAAATGGCGGCTGTCTTATTTCGAGAGTTGTAGGATAAAGTCGATTCTAAATTCGTTAGGGAGTCCATCATCAAAATTGAGGTCGCGGATTGCAGGATATTCCGCACACGTGTTATTAACATACGTTAGGAATTTATCTGATCGCATTTCACCGACGGCGGCGCGGGAACGTTAACGTCGGAATTAATCATAGTTCCGACATTCGTCGATGGGAAAGCGTTAATCTGAGCCTGACAGAATTCTCAGCCGACGGCGAAGTTTCCGTCCATTCAGCTAATACTGCGACAGCCGACACGCCGTTACTCTCCGGTCCAATCGAATACAAGAGTTTCCGCTTCGATTCCATTCATGGAACAACCGTTCGCTGCTGGAAGACTGCCAGGCACTTATTTCCATGCGATATATATACAAACGTCTCTATTACCGATTCATCAGAATTGCTACATCTGGAACGAATGCTCGCTCTTCATTTTTACTCCATTTGGAATAAAGTTCAGAAAAGAGTTCATAGCGAATTAAAAATATTGACAAAAAATTGACATTAAATTTTATTAAGACTCAAAGCTAAATTCATATTCAAAAGTTGATTTAATATAAGTGAGAGATCTTGTGTGTGCACTTCTCTCTCGTTTTAAAAAATATTACAATAAAAATATTTATATAAAAATTATATACTTGGAAAATTTCATTTATATAGTGCCATTTCTTTTCTTTAAATTTCTTTTTTCAGTTATTATTCTTATTAGACTGCTACCTATATTCTTATTAGATTTTTCTAGGTTAGAAAATTATCGAGAAAAATCATAAATCCGTGACGACGCTTATATAAAAGCATTCTTAAAGTAAAAGGAATCACACGAATGCCGTCACACCGCAGTCTTTTTCACTGTTCAAGATTATTGAGTCGCACCGATTCGCGAGGATAGCGGCTAAAGTTTAATTAAACTCCCACGCGAGATGGATGTGATAAAATAACGCTCGGACTTACTGGAAGTGCCCTCGTCCTTCACGTCCTGGACGATCCTTCGGACGCTCTGCGTGAACTTGCCGACGAGATTGGTGCTGGCTGAAACATACAACGTCCGAATTGAAATACTGTGCCGGTATACACAGTGCACAAGACAAATACAATATCTCGCAATTTCGAATTAAACAACCCCGGATTGTTCGACGCCCGATGAATAGCATTACAAAGTCAAATTAGCGAAAACGCGCGTGCTCCTTTCGATCGCGCCAGATAAAGACGCGCGGGAATAATGGATGAGATCCTCGGCGAAGGGAGAGGGGGGGGGGAGGAGATGGGTAAAAGAGGTCTTTTTATGTACATATATACACACACACACAGGATGGAGTGCAAACGTCACTCGGCGCATCCGGAAAGTGAATAACTTGACGGGAAATACCAACATCGTCCGCATCCGTCCGCGTCGAGCGACATAAAGCGCGGCGGCGCGGAAAAGCGGGCTAAAGCTTCTTACTCGTAAAACACGGGATTGTTCTTAAAGCGACCTTTTCGAAGTGGGCTTTTTAAAGCGATCGACTCGCCCCATCGTCCCCGATCGCCGCGGATGCGCCTCGTTATCCGCAACAGGCTCGACGAGCTCGATTCCTCCGTATTATCACACGTGCGGTATCCTTCGTGCGATAATACGGCCGGTCAGTCGCATCTATATTGAGAGAGATGCGAAATTTCTCATCTGACGTAATAGACAGCTTTATCACGTTTAATCCTCTCGGCCGGCTTAATCCTTCGCAAGATGGGGCGACGTCATATCTAACTACGCTCCGTAATTTCCAAATAAAGCTCTGACTGATTAAACGCCGGGATTTTACTGTCTGCATTTACGTCGAACGCATTACAAGTATTTCGCTATTTATTGTTGGGGTTAAAAAAAAAAAGAAAGAAAAAAGGAATTTAGTTAAATCAGCAAATTTTTTTCGCATTACAGATTTTTAGGTAAATAAGTAACCTTTAACTATAATCATAATGAGCTTAAAAGTGTACGGAAATTAATTTCGAAAACTTTTAAATTTTATTGAAGAACTTTCGTCACCTCCGCCATTATGCGTGAGTATAAAGTGGGCTTGATTACCTGAGATAATTCGCGCATTTAGCATTGCTGCAAGTAACATAAGAATGTATTCTACGAAGTTTTCGCTATCTTCCGCAACATTTCCTTCGAGAAATAGTTCCGTCGATTTCTCTCTTGCAAGGAACGGTTTCATACCATAAGTTGTTAACGGTGAGCATAAACATGGTAATGTTGAGACTTTCGTCGGGGCAAAGCGGGAAAGATTTTCTCGCAGCACAAAACGCACGAAACCCCACAATCCTCTTTTACGGCTTTGTAAGTCCCGCCGTTACAAAGCCGAAAATCCACATTCCTCGTGTTCTTTGTTCCGCGTAGATTACGCGATGTGAAAATTTATTTCGCGGCAAGACAGAAAACGATTCGAAGATTGTCAACCGCTAAAAAAAAATTTTCTTCTTTTTTTGAGCGACTTAACCAGTTTTCTTCAATAAAATTTTGATTAATTGTCATTTTAATAAGTAAAACATTTTCACTTAAAAATGAATACGTAAATTTATTATTACGCTATATTTTTTTGATTAGTCATTTTTGTTATATATCTATCTTAAAAATGGACGCATAAAAGGAATAATGTGATTCCTCGTCGCTTCGCGGTATGGAAAGCCGAGTTTCGTAACATCTGTTATGTTCGTTAGTACGGAACTGCCCGCTCGACGAGCTTGGTCGAGTGCCAGCTTGTATAAGACACCTTATACATCTGTATTATCTCGCTCTTCATAATGTTCGGCCAATGAGAACGGCGAATAAACTTGCTTTAATACCGATACTTCGACAGGCTCTCTACAGCGGAATGATTATTCTTGTTACAAAATAGGAGGAGTAAACTTTTGTGTATTTGTTCCGCTTAACCGTTCGTTATGTGATCGTTATATCATAACTTCAATTGTGATGCAAATAGCATTAATTAAAATAATTATTTTATTAAAATCTTAATAAAATTAATTGAAATAATTTATTTTATCAAAATTATAATCATAAAGAATTTTGTCTAATTACTTTATAAAATAAAATTGTATACATTAAAAGTATTAAATAAATATATAATTAGAAAATATACATTTTTATTCAGAATGAATAAAATATCTCTTTATATATCAATAGTTCTTTTTCCATTGTTAAGGATTTTAAAGTCTCGCAATTTCAATGGGACTGACGATATCAAGAAACATAATTTTCCTCAACAGTCAATTATGCGAATGGGGAACTTTCTCATTTTCGTTTGCATTTAACTAGGGTGGCTTTTGGTCGGGCGAACACGATACATTCGTGGTGTCATCGTTCGCCGACAAAAGGGCGTTATCTGGTCTCGTTAGGATAATATGATTTGCCGAGAAGAAGCTGGCTGGCTGGCTGCCAATCTGTAAAACGCACCGTCTTGCCCCTATAGTTCTCCGAATTACTCGGTAATTGCATTTTGTCGACTCGCGGGAATTTAGTGGATTCAGATGAAGTAATAGAGAAGCTTTCAAGACGAAATCCCGAAATACAAAGTAAGAATTTTTCTTCTAAAAGGAGGATATAAATATAATTGTACTTTTTCGTAAGAATATTCTCTGCAATTTTATTCATTAATTTCATAAAATTCTTTCTTTCTTCTTTCTTGATTGGTATGAGAATATTTCATCAATATCGTCCTATACTCGCTGGGAATAACAAGTAGTAAAGATCGCCTCCAATAGTAAAGATACGTTTATGATCAGCCATGTCCGCACAGATACAGATCGCATGGTCCTGGATAAATATAAAAGAAAAATGTAAATTTTACTGAAACGTTTTAATAAATTTAACAGCGAAAATCCTTGAAAGTCGTGATTTGCGAGTCATGTATAAGATGTCGCGGGACAAAGCAACCGTCTGCGTACAAGCATAATTCACCTTCGACTTACCATCGACAGCCTTTTCCACCATCACGTTTACGTGTCATAAAATTTTCTAAACCCGCCGCCATCGTGACTCCTTTCAAGAGGACTCACGTCAAGTTGCCCGTGGGGAATTCCCAATGAAAGGCCCTAAACCCTATTCGTACGTCACACAGTATCGCGCCATCCGGTATTTCATCCGCGGCGAATCGAGCGAAAGCGAAGGGGTTGCGCACGTCGTCCAACATTTGTACCCTGTGTCTTTTCCAGTGGTTGGTCGGTTTCATTGGAATTCAGCGCGCGTTTCCTACGTGGCTCTCGTAACCCGTCGCTTCTTCGATCCACGAAAAGCGCCGGGATACATCCTGCGAAATAAGTGGCCAGAGGGAGGAGGGCCTTTCGTTCGGCACACGGGCCGGATGCCAAAATGCAACAAGCGCATTGCCGTTCGCGCAAAACCGCGCAAAACCGCGCAAAACGGATTCGTTTTCTCCGCATCGGCACGCGCCAGCTAAGTGAACTGTCGTTTTCGATTGCTCAGGATTCGAACGTGATCGTTATATCGAACGAGCTCTCGTTATCCTTCCAAATTTACGCCGACACTGGCGATCGCGATTAAGTCAAAATAGAGAAAGGCGTTTTCTATGTCTTCTTAGATCCGGATTTTCGAGTTTAAGTTTGAAAAGTGAGAGTTACAAGTTGCGCATATCAATGAGAACGTATTTAAAAATTAAATGATAGAAATAAATAAAAATTTTTTTTTCATTTCAACAGTACAGCCAAGAAGGGAACTTGGTTTACACAAAGTATTTAATCATCATTCTTTCTCATTTATATTATTAAGCTCTTTTTTCTAATCTATCTATTTATTCTCTGTTATCTAATGATAAGAATAAATAAAAAGAAATGGAAAGGAAAAAGATAAATTAATAAAAATATAATACAAGAAAAAAAGCGGAGAAAAAATTCAATAAAATTTACACAGGCACACTAGCGTAGAAACAAATTTATTTCATTACCTTAATCATCATAATATAGATTGCGTAGATTACTATAGTTTAACAATTGATATGAAATGTTCCTGTGCTATTAAAGATCTTCGATTCGTTTCTTATCGCTCGTAAAATAAGATGATGAATTTTTGCGGACGCGTAGTAATTACGCGAGGAGACAAAAGACGCGAAAACGACTTGTCTGGTTTCTGGCGACGAAAGTTATTTCCCAGGATCCTTCTAGATCCTAACAGTCGTAACCTCGATTATCTTCTAAAGAAGGAGAGCGCGATCGTTAAGAATATCCGTGAGAGGAGAGTCGATCTTCAGACTTCCAGGATTCTTATCCTGAAAGCCAAAGCTTCTTCTTCGGTCTCAAGAGATAGTTAAGCTTGTCACCGCAAGTATGTCGTCGTTTCAGTCGTTATTACCTCTGGAATTGTTCAACTATTGCGACAAATCATGACGATTGGAGTCGGATCTTTTGTTGCAACTGCGCACGAATCCGCACAAGTTATTAACGTGAGATCTGACGCAATTTATTTTGAAAAGAATGTTCAATCATTTCTTATAAATAATAATTATACTGTTATTATTATTGATGATAAAGCTGCACAATGAATAAAGAATGTACACTTTAAAAATAATGAATAATTTGGATATAAACTTTGAGATATAAACTTTTATTTAAAATAAAGTTGTGTATTATTTAATTGTCAGTGAAAAAAATAGTTATATTAAATTCTGCGTGTGATGACGTCGCGATATTAGTCCGTAATCAAAGGATATAAAATCGTCGTTAACGTTGACGTACGAGCTGAAACGATTATTGAGCTATTCCCTATGATGAGCGTCTTTATAATCAAGTTTTTCCCGCACTAATAGCGTTCAATCTACTCAAGGGTATAATGCCAAAGAGGTTTAAATTTGTCACCGGCTATGAAAAAGTCATCACTAACACTGGCGCGGAATCGTTTTACAGAGACCGTCCTCTAGCAAATGCGTCCTCATCATGTCCGCGCGCTATTTGAGGATCGGTAAACCGGATTTTTCGCCAATGAAAGCGGCGCCGTTGCTGTTCGAGCGACTAGGATACGGATGAGTGCACAGGCGGATCTCGCC